TTTCTGGGGGCAAGCTGTTCCACTGGTTGATTGTCCTCACTGTCCGGAGGTTTTTCCTTAACGCCAGGTTGCTTCTCTCTTTGATCAGTTTCCAACCATTGTTTCTCGTCCCTCCATCTGATGGTTTGGTGAACCACCTGGCCCCCTCTTCTTTGTGGCAGCCCTTCAGTTATCCAAGTTATCCAAGATACCTCCCAAACTGTGAAAACCTCTAGTACTATCTGAAGTTAGATTAGCACTCTGTCATCACCCACTGGGAAGGCTAGAGGAATCAGTGGGAGGGCTTCCCTCCAGAAGTTGTGGGTTTCCAGCACTGGAGGTTTTTAAGAAGGGACTGGATGGCTATTTGTCTGGAATAGTATAGTATAGGTTCTCCTGCTTGAGCAAGGGGCTAGACTAGGTGACTTCCAACTCTCTTATTCTGTTAACTGATGGAATACCCATAAAAATATAGCAAACTATTTGCCTATCCAAATCTTCATTTTGACTGAAGTTACTTGGATGAGTAATGAAATCTCTCCGTTTTAGTAAACTTTGGTCCAGCTGTCATCATTTAACCTTTTAAGATATACATTAAACATTCTAACCAAGTTATGGAGAATGACAACAGCGACAAACAGATTGGGAAAGGTCAATTTATTTCCCAATACTAAAAAAACTTAATAGAGTGTACGAGCTATTGTACAACATTTTTAATTTCAAAATAATGTTTAGGATCATTCAACAGATAAGAGCCCTGCATGTCAGATGCTCAAGTTGTCAGTAAATAATCCTGAGGAATAGGAGCCATTATTGATGACACATGCTAGATAATTGGTAAAACTGGAAACTACACAAGAGGAAGTCAGTATGTGTTCGCTGATTGTAGAAACACCTTTGATTATGTTTATCCTACCGAGTTGTGGAATGGGAAACATGACAATCCTAGACTATCATTCTCATTGTTCTCACGAAAAACCCTCATGAGATGTGAATCCGTTGCTTCAGCAGAAATGTACGCCCTGACAACTAAACCCACAACCCTCCACCCTTAGTGGTGACATCTTCAAAATCCAAATCCTTGGAGATAACAAGGGGTTCTTGTTTTACTCCTCTCAACTGCTGTGAGAAGAGTCGATCTGCAAGGCGACAGGAGGCAAGGAGAGCCATTTGTCCTAAGCCAGTGGTGGCAAACCTATGGCACAGGTGCCAGAGGCAGCACTCAGAGCCTTCTCTGTGGGCACGTGCACCATGCCCTGGAGATGGCAACTGTCCCTCTTCAACCAGCCGCCTGCTAACTCGCCGAGGTCCCACGTGGCCGATGCATCCTGGCATGGCTGGTTTCCCTCCCCCGCCTGTCCCATCCCTCCTGGCCTTGCATGCTCTCCTTTTCCCGGGCACGACCCACTGCATCGCCTCCTCAGCTGTTGGCCAGCCATTCAGCTCAGAGGCAGCTTCTTTGAACTGCTGGTGGCGAGCTGTGGAGCCCCAGAGTGCACCAGTTGAGGGACCAGCAGGCTGTGGCTGCTGACAGACACCGTTGGCCCCCATGCACTTGCTGGCCTGTGTGTGCGGGGGCCGATGGTGTCAGGCTGCCCCCGCCTCGGCCCTTGCCTTGCCCCATAGCAATGGCACCGCCACCCTGCCTCGCCTCACCCCACAGGACAAGCCTCCTGCCTACCGCCCCACCTGCCAGAGACCCCCTCCCCATGAGCAACATTGAGTTTACCACACCCACCTTGGCCACACCCACCCAATCTGCCAGGACCACCATAGCCACGCCCACCCAGTGGGCCACACCCACTTGGCACCCGGTGATAAATAAGTGGGCTTTGGGTTGCAGTTTGGGCACTCATTCTCCAAAATCACTGTCCTAAGCCTTAAGCTTAAAGTGGGCAAAATGGTAAAGAATTGCTATTTTAATTCAAATTAAGCCCCTCTGTTACCCTAATGCCATCTGGAAACATTCCTTTGAGCTTGAAGCTCAGCGGGACTCTCCCTTGGACAGAAGACCAACAGCTGAAGAATCACCAGGGAACTTAAAAAAAAAATAATTCCAGCGGGCAAGCAGCGTTTGTACGTTGGCAGTAAAACTCCGTGGATGTGTCTAATTTAGAGTATATTGAAAGGATACAATAGAGGGAAAAAGTAACAAGCTGAGCTCAACCTGATGTGTCTTTGCCTTTTGTTTGGCTTTCATGTATCTATATTTTTATACTTTTCAACCCAATGTTGGAAACAAGCAAGATAAAGAGCACCAGAGTCCATCTGTGTCAGCAGGAGAGCCTGGACAAGTGAAGGAAATTGGGCACAATTTGCTTCAGAAGCCGGAAAGGAAAACATAAGATTGACAGCAGGCCACAAGCACCGCCCCCCCTCCACAGTCCCGGTGGTCCAGATGACAGAGGGGTTCAAGTGAGCCTCCTCGTGTATGGAAGAAGAGCTTCTTCTATGGGCCAGAAGGAATCCCAGAACTGGACACCACAGGTCACAGTCTGGGGCCTTCATGCCTGGAATGGCTACTCACAGCTCTGCGAAGGTCTATCAATCAGAATAGACCTGGAAGGGACCTCGGAGGTCTCCTAGTCCTGCTCAAGCAGCAGACCCTCTACCAGACATGTCAAACTCGCGACATCACATCACACGACGTATCAGAGCTTTTTCCCCATTGCTGGCTATGGGGTGGGTGCGGTTTCCCCGTGACATGTCCGGCCGATGGGCTGGCAGTTTGACACTCCTGCCCTATACCATTTCAGACAAGTGGCTGTCCTGTCTCTTTTAAAAAACTTCCAATTGAGAGAGCGCCAACAATTTCTGGAGGCAAGGTGTTCCACTGGTTAATTGTCCTCACTGTTAGGAAGTTCCTGCTTAGTTCCAGGCTGATTCTCTCCTTGATGAGTTTCCAGGTTGATTCTCTTCTTGATGAGCTTCTATGCCAGTAGTTCTCAACCTGTGGGTCAGGACCCCATTTGGGGTCGAACGACCATTTCACGGGGGTCGCCAAACAACGCAGTCCGCCATTTTTCCCCCCTTTTCCTTAGCTGTGCTACTCCCTTTTATTCTATTGAAAGCCAAAAGAATAGACTCTCTTGAATAGAGTCTATTCTATTGGCTTTCAAAAGCCAGTAGGAATTGTCCAGGCTGTCTCTGCCCTGCTGAGCCCGCCAAAAGTCCCATTCTGCAAACGGTGCTGCACCAGTTGAGTAGTCCTTGACTTACGACCGGTTGGGGGTTGCAGCATTAAAAAGGTTGAGAACCACTGTTCTATCCTTTGTTTCTCGTCCTGCCCTCAGGTGCTTTGGAGAATAGCTTGACTTCCTCTTCTTTGGGGCAGCCCCTGAAATACTAGAACACGTCTATCATGACCAGTCCTTCTTTTCTCTCCCAATTCCTGCAACTGTGCTTCATGTGTTTTAGTCTCCAGGCCTTTGATCATCTTAGTTGCTCTTCTCTGATTTTTTTTCCCAAACTCTCAACATCTTGTTTTTGTGATACGGTGACCAAAATTGGCTGTAATATTTGAGGTGTGGTCTTACTTCAGTGACTCCATCCAGCCATCTCATTCTCTGTCTTTGCCTTTTAGTACTGTCCATGGGGTTTTCAGGGCAAAGATACTGGAGTGGTTTGCCATTTCCTTCTCCAGTGGATCACATTTTGTCAGAACTCTCTGCTATGACCTGTCCGTCTTGGGTGGCCCTGCACGGCGTAGCTTATAGCTTCATTGAGTTACGCAAGCCCCTTCGCCACGACAAGGCAGTAATCCATAAAGGGGGTGATCTCACTAGAGTTTTATAAAGGGGTACTAATATTTTGCGTGATCTTGATTCTACGCCTCTGTTTAGACAACCCAGGATTGCATTGGCCTTTTGGGTTGCTGCTGCACACGGCTGGCTCATAGTCAAGTGATCGTCCATTAGATCTGCAAGGTCGCTCTCACGGTTGCTGTTTCTGAGCCAGGTCTCGCCTTAATTCAGTGTTTCTCAACCTTGACCATTTTAAGGCATGTGGACTTCAACTCCCAGAATTCCACAGCCAGCAATGCTGGCTGTGGAATTCTGGGAGTTGAAGTCCACATGCCTTAAAATGGTCAAGGTTGAGAAACACTGCCTTAATTTGTACAATTGGACCAGGTCTGTCCGAGCTGGGCCCAACTCCGTTCGCGGCTCTCTCGCGACGGCCAGGCCCCTAACTGCGGCTTTCAGCCCGTCCCGCTATATCGGTCGGCCCTCCTTCCTTCCCCGCCGAGCCCAGAGTCGTCCGGAGGGGCGCCTGGGATGGCGGCGGAGAGAAAGCGCGGGCAAACGGGCAGAACCAAGTGCCGCCGCGCCCAGGCTGGGCTGGGAAGCGGCCGCTCCGAAGGAAGCTTGGCCCTGAGGGGCGGCTCTGAGGGGCGGCATCCCGCCTTCCTCGCCCCTCAGGGACGCCCCTCAGGGGAAAGCGCGGGACGGGGGCGGGGGGAGGGGCCGGCGGGCAGTCGCCGAAAATCCGCCCCGGACGCCCTGCCGGGCTCGTCGCGCGCCTCAGGAGCGCCTCAAGAGCGCCCGGCCGTCGTGCGGTCCGAAGAGCCCCGGCGGCGTCGGCGGTTTTCCCCTAAGAGGGCGGCCGGGCGCAAGGCTGAGGCGCTCGGTCGCGACCGCCCCGCGCTCTCTTCGGCGGCGCCGTCGGGAGAGGGCGAGCAGTCCGCCTTTCCTGCCCGGAGGGCGTCGCCTTTTCGGCCAATTCTCTGACTCCCCCCCTCCCCAATCCCCCGGAGGCCGCCTGGCTCCCCGCCGCTCTCCTTGCAGGCAGCCCCGTCAGCCGCGGCTGTGGCGCTCGGCGGGCGGCGCTCCTGCCTGCTCGGCCAACCTGCCGCGGGCTGCAGGCGCGGCAGCTCCGCCCCGGGCGAGGCCGAGCCCGTCCGCCGCTCCGCCGGGCGCTCCCTCAGGCTGAGCGCGCGGCGGCTGCGGCGCCTCCTCCCTGCTTGCCTCCCTCCCTCCCTCCTTCCTCAGCCTCTCTCTCGCTCTCTCTCTCGCCCCCCCCCGCCAGTAAATCCGATCTAGGCCGAGCCGTCTTCCCTCCGACCACGTGATCCCGCCCAGCGTCCGACACCTTTCGGGGCTGGCTCGCTCGCTCGCTCGCTCGCTCGGGCTCGGCGCGGCGCACCTGGGCTCCGGCAGCGACCCGGCGCCCCGCCTTCCGGACGCGGCGGCAGGGCAGGGCAAGGGCGGGGAGGGCGGGGGTCGGCACGCGTCGGCCGGGGCTGGGAGCCGGCCCGGCATTGGTGTCTCCCCTCCCGCCGCCCAGGAGCCGCCGCTCCCACGCCTGGATGCTGGCTCCGGCCGCCGGACTGCTGCGCCTGGCTCGCCCGAGGAGCCCGGCGGCGCTCCGCGGAGACAGCCGCCGCCTGGGCGCGTCCGCGGGGAAGTTCGCCTGAGGCTGCTCCGCTGCTGCGCCTGCCCGTCGCCGCGCCCCGTTGGGGAAGGATTGCTGCCCCCCCGAGACGTGCCTTGCCCGAGCGCCTAAGATGAAGAGGGCCATCGCCGGAGGTACGGTAGGCGAGAGGGCGGCCGCGGGACCGAGGGGGGGCGGCCGGCCGGCTCAACGCGCCCGAAGTTCCGCCTGGCAACTTTGCCGCGCGCTGAGGACCGGGGAAGGGGAAGCGTCCGGACGCCGCCGGGCCGGGGAGGACCAGCTGAGGCGCGGAGGGGCGCGAACTCAGCGACGGCCGCCGGGCAGGGAAGCCGCTGCGCGTTGCGCAGGGGTTGGGGCGGGAGACCGTTTGGTGGATCTCTTGTGTCCCCCCCTCGGCTCTGCCGGGGCGGAGGAAGGAAGGGTCGCTGATGAAGGGGGCTGGGAACTCTGGGCCTGCTTTGGGGGCGCCCCTGGAGAGCCCCCCAGGCTGGGGGCGGTTTTCTGGGAGGGCGGCTTTTTTCTCTCCCTTCCTCCCCCCCCCAAGGCCGGGCGGCTCTCCTGCCCTCTCCCAGCCCGGGAAGCGTCGCAGGGGTGGATTTCTAGGCAGGAGCCCCCCCCCCGTTTCCTTCCCCTCCCCTTTTGGGGAGGGCGCAGGGTCTTCCCTGAAAGTCTCCCCCCCCACCCGCTGCTGCTGCGGCCGCTGCCTTTCCCCCGCGCTTGCCGGCGGCCTTGGGAGCCCCGGCAGGTGTTTGCAGATGTTGCCATGCTGGGCGACGGGGCGGGGGGGGCTCTCTCCTTTCCCTTCCCCCTGGCGAGCCCCCCCCCCAAGGCCGGGCGGGCTCTCCTGCCCTCTCCCAGCCCGGGAAGCGCCGCAGGGGTGGATTTCTAGGCAGGAGTCCCCCCCGTTTCCTTCCCCTCCCCTCTTGGGGGGGCGCAGGGTCTTCCCTGAAAGTCTCCCCCCCACCCGCTGCTGCTGCTGCGGCCGCTGCCTTTTCCCCGCGCTTGCCGGCGGCCTTGGGAGCTCCGGCAGGTGTTTGCAGATGTTGCCATACTAGGCGACGGGGCGGGGGGGGGCTCTCCTTTCCCTTTCCCCTGGCGAGCCCCCCCCCTGCATCGGGGCCTTTGCTGTGGAGCCGCCCGCGGGGGTGGGTAGGGGGGGAGAACCGGGTCCTTCTCTCCCGCGGCGATCGCTGCGGAAGGCTCGGTCTATTGGGGGGGGGGCCGGCGGACGACCCCGCGATGCCTTCTGCTCCCGGCAGTTGGGGCGCCGGGCTGGCCTGAAAAAATGGGGGCTTTGCAAAGCTTGTTCAGTCTGGAGGGATCCCCGGAAGAGAAGCTTGCAGCGGGGGGGGCGGGGGAGAAATCCCCCCCCCACTACAGCAGCAGGGCTGCCCCCACCCCCGGCCGCCGCCGCCCTGCAGAAAAAGGACCAGATCGCCTGGCCTCGGAAAGCCATGGAGTTGGCCAAAGTTTCCAGTGGTTTTTCCCCAGAGAACAGGGCAATCTCACGTTCCCAGCGGGGGACCGGAAAAAACGAAAGTGCTTTTTGGTTAGAGAGAAAGAAAGAAAGAAAGAAAGAAAGAAAGAAAGAAAGAAAGAAAGAAAGAAAGAACAAAGTACTATTCTCCCCCCCCTCCCCTTAAAAGAATTAGCTGCTGGGTCGCACGTTTTCTTCTTAATTTGCAATGATGGAGATGACCTCCACCGGAGGAGGGTGGAGGATAGGATTTCCCGGAGGCGCGAGTGTTTCTGATGGAGGTGTGTGCATGTGTGAATCGCTATCTCCAGCCCTTTGGAGGGCAAAGTACTGATTGGAAAACTGCTTGGTTGGGGTCGATGGGCCTGAAAAGCGGGGGGGGGGTTGGGAGGGGGGGGAAAGCTGGAGGCATAACGGGCAAAAAAAAAAAAAAAAAGCCAGGTGTTTCTTCTGCCTCCTGGGAACGCTGTTACTTGTCTGTGTTTCACGTAAAATACGCATTAGTCAAAGGTGCTAAACTGGATTAAGGCTGAAGGGAAAACATTTCATGGAAAGTGAGCAAATACTATGTAGGCTGGGAATTGCTTTCGTTCTGCTTTTTTATATCTATCTATCTATCTATCTATCTATCTATCTATCTATCTATCTATCTATCTATCTATCTATCTATCTATCTACTTACCTATCTACTGTATCCATCTATCTATAATGGCACTCTGGGTGTAATCTGCTTCTGCAAGGTCTTGGAGGAGACGCTGAGGATAGGCAGCCAGAACTCTCTCCCAAGTGAGATTTAGTGGGGTTCACATCCTTGGGTCAGAGAGCCCTGGTGCAGGAGGCCATCGTGGGCAACTGATGGTGGGGGTATCCTTTGGGGGGGGGGCAAAGGGAGGGAAAGCGCCATTGCAAGGGTACCACCTAGTGGCAATTCTTTCAGGGAGCCAGGAAGAAAAGAAGCGATACAACAGCCCTCCAGGCAGAGAACTTTGCTAAGATTGGGGGGCTGGTTGAATGCGTTTCCCACCCCTCCCTGACTCACACATACTATTAGGTTTGGGGAGTTCTGTGTATCTTAAGGGATGTTATCTCTGCTTCTCTAGGTCTCTCCTAGGCTGTTTTTACAGGGAGTCTATTAGACAGTTTAGCTTCTCTCTCTCTTTCTCTCTCTCTCTTTCTCTCTTTCTCTCTTTCTCTCTCCCCCTCTATTCCCCCCCTTTTTCTCTCCCTCTCCCCCTCCCTTCCTCTCCAATGTGGTTGATGGTCATGCATATGATTTCAGTGCAGCAAAGAAACCAAACGCTGCCTTATTTGCTTGCAGCGGAAATATCTCAGGGTGCCTTCAAAGCACTTTAGATAGATTTTTGCCTCTTTCAGGAAGCTAAAGGGCTAAATTAACTGGTCAATTAATGGGAAATCTTTAGGACTGTGTGAAAAAAAAAAAACTAATTAAGTGAGAGCAGGGAGAATATTGGGCCCCAAAGGCTTAGAATCCTGGGATCGCTTGATTCATCCTTTCTGGCTGCTGACAATTGCTTGCCTTAAAACCCCTCCGAAAAAGTTCTCTTGGGAAGAGAAAATTGTGTGGCTATGTATTCTGCCCCCCTCTGTTAGCTGGTGAAAGGAGCAGAGGCCTGCAAATGATTGTGTGTTGTGTTTCACGGGGAGAGTATCATAGAAATCAAGTCAGCTCTTCCTTCCTTCCTCCACCCCTCCCTCCCTCCCTCATAAAAAAAACACTCACCTGGTTACAGAAGCAAGGGAAACAACTATTTGGGCATCCCCCCACCATGTCTATGCATGAATAGGGAAGCATGAAATCAGCTCTCTCTCTCTATATATATACCCAGAAAATCATTTCAGCAAAGAAATGTATTAATCTCCATAATGTAAAAAAAAAAACAGTCTACAGTGCAACAGAAGGTTGCTTGATTTTATTATTATAATAGACATGTCTAATCGGTCTTTAAAACCCACACAAAGCAGGGGAAGGAGAAGGAGAGAATCAGCCTCTCCTCCCCATGTAAGGGATTATCCAATTGTGTAGTTTTCAAGGGCAGGATGAAAAATCCCTACGCGGAACAGAAGCTCTTCAAGCCAGTCAGGAGATCCGGAGCCTAGACGAGGTGTTCGTCTACGGATCTTCCAGTCCTGTTTTCTGTCCAGTTGCGCAGAAGAGTCTCGCTTTGCTGATCTGAGCAAGCTAAAGCTTTGAAGCCAGAGGAAGACAGGGTTGGGTGGGAGGGCAGAGGAGTGGTTGAGAGAAATGGCAGAGAGCAGTCAAAAACATCTAACAGTATCCGACAATTTTTCTGCCTCTGATGCAGAGGCTGCTAATATTAAAGTGGAGAATGCAGTGAAGAGTTTTTATCTTGAGAAGCTCAGTTTTCATTATAGAGGGACAAATGGTGCATCAGGAACAAAGATCTACTTACTATAGTGTTTCTCACGCTTAGCTTTAAGACATGTTTGATTTCAGCTCCCAGAATTCCCAATCAGCATGAATTTCTCTGGGAATTCAAGTTCATGCATCTTAAATTTGCTACGTTTTGATGGAACGCTGGTCTAGTCCTTACAGTAGGAGAGAATATTTATGGGTGGACAATATCTTACAGCTTTCTTTTAGAAAGTTTTTTTTTAAAAAAAAACCACCCTGAGTTTATCTATTAGGCATACATACTTTTTTTCTTGTTTGAATAACCTATTCTACAGTCCTGTGCATTAGTAAAAACATAAGAATGGATTATTCTTCAATAAGGAAAATTACATCAGCTTAATTTAACAGGCCACAGAATCTTGTTTTCCTGGTATAAATTGAGTGCCCTTTTCTTTGATGCTGGGTAATTGCCATCAAGTGCAAAGAGCTTTAAAAAAAATCCTTTCTCCATTCTTGTTCCAGACGAGAAACTGGTAAAAGCTAAATCGGCCATTATGTGCAGTTCCTGGGTGGGGGGAGGGGGGGAGAGTACACAAGGCCTGCCTTTTCCAGGTGGCAGCAGGTATCTGAAATTGCTTTTCACAGAATCAATCAATCAACCAGAACAGAGCTGGAAGGGACCTTGGAGGTCTTCTAGTCCAGCCCCCTGCTCAAACAGGAGATCCTATACCATTTCATACAAATGGTTGTCCCAATCTCTTCTTTAAAAACTCCAGTGATGAAGCATCCACAAATTCTGAAGGCCAGCTGTTCCATTGATTAATTTTTCTCACTGTTAGGTTTCTTCAGGTTGCTTCTCTCCTTGATTAATTTCCATCCGTTGCTTCTTGTCCTTCCTTCTAGTGCTTTGGACAATAGGTTGACCCCCTCTTCTTTGTGGCAGCCCCTCAAATATTGGAACACTGCTATCATGTCCCCCCTAGTCCTTCTTTTCTCTAAACTAGCCAAATCCAAATCCTGTAGCCGTTCTTCATATGTTTTGGTCTCCAGGCCTTTGATCATCCTACTTGCTCTTCTCTGCACTTTTTCCAAAGTCTCAACATCTTTTTTATAACTTGATGACCAAGACTGGATGCTGTATTCCAGGTGTAGTCTTATTAAGGATTTATAAAGCAGTATTAATACTTCACATACTAGTTATATGCCTAACAACCAGACCCTATATCAGTGATGGCGAACCTTTTAGAGACCGAGTGCCCCAAACTGTAACCCAAAACCCACTT